GTGTACTCCTTTTTTCTTAAAGCTATCCTTCCATAGATATTTAAGAAAATTAAAAGTAATTAAAAATATACCTCCAATAAATACTTTCCCTATACTATGCATATTAAATGTGAGTATTTTACCCTTCTTGAAATTTGATCAATCTTTAGATATCATCATTATTTACATACAGTTAAATTTTAATCTATCAGCTTAAAAAATAATTCATCATATTCACCTTCGTTCGATGCAATCATTGTATGCATGCATGCGAGGCGAAATTTCACGGAGTCTTACCCTATTGCGATTTCCCATTAAGGCCAAAGTTTTAAAGGCTACCCCTAAACAGGTAAGCGAGGAGATCTAGCTCAGCTCCTGCAGGACTACTTGATTAAAACCCACGTAAAGTGCTACCCGCCGCTGGAATCTCACTGCTAGGCATTGTTTATAGAACAATGGATAGATTTGGTGTGCAGCACGGTCTGGCTAGCAACGATTCACACCATCCCACGCTCCATTGCGCAATGCGAAAGCAACTTTCATACCTTTCATAGGCTTCGTTACCGTGAACGTTTTCTTTGTTCATAAGAGCTCTGAGTCATGTAATAGGTTTTTGTAAGTGATGATCTGCATCTTTTGAATGTAAAGGAGGCGGGCAAAATAATGGAAACACTAAGCCATTTTAAGAACCTTACTTTTCTATTCAACATTTTTTTAAATTAGCACAATCACTCTATTCGAAAGTCACTGAATCAATCTGAAGTTTTAAAGGCTGTAATGAGAAATAGATTTCTATCATTAATGACTCTGAAGGAATAATAAAAAAGAAAAAAAAATTTAGGTACTGATCGAATTGAGTAACCTCCTCCTTTTTCGAAGTCGATTAATGAAGATATTTTTTAAGAAGAATGGGGTTGTATTTAGTTATAAGGGCCCTAAACAAATAAATTCGTGTTTTTCATGGCTTATGTTACATTATTTTCGTTTGTGTTAATTATGTTAATTTTATTGATCATTTGCACTTTTATTCCCATGAGTAGGCATGACCCAGTGTATTGCTTTGACCGCTGCGTATTGTTAAGACGGTTCTGGTTGCTTACGAGCCTTCTCGCTTACAGTGTCATTTTCCTGGGAACCGTTAAAGGGAAAGTGCGAGAATTCGGGACACCATTTTTCGTCGGGAAGCCTGATTCGGTTGCGAATAGGTTAAATTTTTTATTATTTCATGTTCTGTATCTTTAGTTGATTTAAATATCCTATGTTTAAAAATATAACATTATCGTTTCATGAACACACTCAAAACAAAATACAGTTAACATTTTGTTAGTTTAAAGAATATTTTCAATGGAGTAGATATACTCTTGGTAAATGTAAGAGGATGTATAACCATTGGAACGAATAAATAAATCAGCTTTTGCATCATTTATTGCATTTGAAGGTATAGAAACATGTTTGCAACGTTAAAATAACAAAAAAGAAACAAAGAATAATGCAGCAAAGATAAATCTGTTAAAGGTTGTTGAAAGTTGTTTGAACGAGAAATACAAAATCGGCTCAAGCAGTTTATTTGAAGATGCATGAAGCGTAATAAAGAGCGTAATACATGGAGCGGTATTATTCGAGTTGAAGAGTCCTAAGCTCTTACAGCGTCCCATTACCTCTACATTACTGTCCAGGAATTGCAGTAACAATTCTTTCCATGATACAATACGCTTTCTGCTTTATCGTGAGAAACGCCAAATCGGTTTTCCATCGCTCTTTTTTACCATTTATTCGCGAACAGTTTTAAGTCTCGGGAACTTGCTACAATGCATCCCTCTCTCTGTAGCTCGGAAAATTTCAAGAACGCATAATAATTTTGTATGTAAAAATCCGATCTTGCGCTTCAATATTTTATTATTGCATTTTTATTTAAGCGTGCGGCGGCATTTGTCGAAATGCTCTGATTTAATATTTTTAACGACTTTGGTTAATTCTGTGGTGTTGCATAACGGGTGTAAAATGTAATTTGTAACTATCATAGTTATTCAATATACAAAAAAGATAATGCAGAGTTAGGAAATATTCTCCAAAAACAATTTTGAAAATATAATTTCACTATTGTAATAAGATAATAATCTCAAATAATGCGAATATTGCACTATTATTTTTTTAATTCATAAGATAATAGCATTCAAAATATCATTGGTTCCTCTAAAGATAAAGAAAATACCAAAAATTATTTGAATATTGTATACAAAATCAATAAAATCGAAACAAGTGCTCTGCTATATATGTATGTAGATTGTGCAAACAAAATAAACACACAAAACAGGACTGTAGGGACATAAAAGCAATTGGAAAAATGTGATCGTACAGCACATAGTCCTGATAAAATACATGTTGGTATAATCATATTTGATTTTTAATAACGTTAAAATTTTGAAGCATGAATTTCATCTATACAAAATGTCAATACTTGAAATGTTAAATATAAAAAAAGATAACAATTCCATTAACTATAAAGCTGTTATAGATAATTTTAACACGATTTATACATTTTAAAAATTTATTATGTTGTTATATGTATTAAATGACTGATTTTGAAATATCAATAGTTTGACGTGATTTGATGACATAAAAGTATTGTAAAATTGCACTTGCAGTATATCAATTTAAAGCTTAAAGTTTGTCTATAATGACTATATAAACTTTTTGTAAATGTTTTTATAACGAACTAAATGGTTGTTGAATTCTTCAGATGGTTATTTAACGATCGACAATTTTGTATTAAGAATTTTAACTTAACGTTTACATGGTCATTTTAAACAAGCTGTATGTTTTAAATTAATATAGTAAATGAGCTATTTTATAGTAATTTTATTATCCCATAAAAGACTTTATATGATTCAAAATCGGCCACTATAATTATCAACCATGCATTTTTTCTTAATATTGATAAAGCTCTAAGATAGTAACTTTCAGTAAATTTTAAACTTTAGATTAACATAGGATAACAATTATTTTATGAAGTTTTTATGTTATCAAATTTTATCAGAATTTTGACGTTTTGAAATCAGACATCATTTATTGTAATTATCGACTATCCATTTTGCTTTAATAATATTGATAATGCTTTAATATAGTCATTTTCAGCAAATTTTAAACTTTAAATTGACATAAAATAAGTAATATTTTATGATGTTTTTATGTCATTAAATTTCAAATTATTAGAGTGCTCGGCATAATTGATAATATCCAGCGTAAAAATCTTCATATTATGATTTTCAGTTTTACACAAACGTCGAATACATGTGAACCCTTCATTTTGAAGGTAGTATAAGTTCATTTACTGAAACAATTAGGTAAACGAAAAATTACCAGAATAATTATTTGTAATTCCTTTTTAAAAATGGACTTACACCACTTTCGAATTGAACAATATATACTTTTTATATTTTGCCACTAGCAATTTGATCATCCACTGTAAGATGGTACCCATCATTGGTAAGGTGCTCTAAATAGTATTCCATTTTACTTGAAAGTACTTTTGATAGAGAATTTGAGTCTATCGTGCTTAAATTCGTGTCAACTTGAAAATCGACCTTCATTTCTTTAAACTTTTTTCAAATATCACTCAATATTTGAACCTACTCGAGGCGGCCTTGAACCTATCATTACATTCTTAACGTAAAATAATTGAAAAATGTTTTTATGTTTCTTTTTATCCTTCCTTCTAACGATTCCTTCAAAAACTTGTTTCCATTTACATATATAATTCGTTACAATAGGTATCTGATTGTGAGTGCAGTTATAAGAAACGTTAAAAGTTACGCTAGAATATGAAACACGAAGATTTTTCAAGTTTGTGCAACTGCGCGGAATGATAAATCGTTTAACGTAATTTAATTATAAGCCGGTGTATAGCGCGGAAATGGAAGCGGTGGATATACGCTGGAATAAATAATTACTTTCTATGACAGATATTAATGAGCCAGCGGATATAGGTGTATTACAGAATCAAATTTTGAATTCAACCGGACCTGGTGCTCGCTGTTTTATAAAAATTACCAGTTAATAACTCGAACGTAAAAAGTAGCAGATATTAAATTTCTAAGAAAATTTGACGAAGCTTTGAAATATTGGAAAAAAAAGAAAATTGTACAATCTCAAAGGAAAATTTCCTTTGGCACAATGAAATTGTTGAAACGGAAATTATATTATCCATTGTTATATTAATTAAAAAGAAATGAATTTAATCGATTGCACTATGGACATAAGGTTGATTTTTTTTTTTAAAGAGATGTAATTAACACAAGATTTAATAGAAATGGTCTGTGATATTTGAAACGGTTATGGCTGTTTCAAATTCATTTTGAGTAGTTTGACTTTTTGCGATCCTCTTCAGGGATATAAATTTAGTAGCATCGAAGTAGGTCGCCCCTCTCAACTTTCAGCAGAACTTTATACCTGAAAACTTAGATTCCTCTTTAAATAGTGTTATGTTCGAATTTCCAGAGAGCTGTCATGTAAGAAATTCGTTCCTTTTTAAAATTTCGAAGTGAATTGATAACGGGAGTAAATTAATAATTAGAAAACTGCAAATAACATGTTTCGCTCTATATTTAAATCACTCCTGTGACAAGCTGAGTAGTCCATGCCTGAAGCGAATTCCAACTTTTGCCGAATATTTATTTTTCTCAATTAATGCTTTAAACATTCCATTTAAGAAACGATTGTATATTAAAGTAAAGCCCCCCCCCAAGTATTTTGGAATTTTTTTTGATTTCTTGGAAGTCAAGAACAATAAATAATAGGAAATACAAAATTATAATAAATTAAAATTGGAGCTCTCTCCATAGTTCGCCGCTCAAAGGTTAAAAAAGCGAAGAAAAGAGTTTTTATTTTATCACAGAAAAGTATGTTAAATTAAAATCGGGATATCAGTCATTAATAAGTATCAAATCAGTCAAAGTGTTTATTAATTATTGTAAATGATTTGTTTCAAAATCTAATGCCAGAATATTTTATTTCTGTTGCAGTAAACGTTGTGGACGGTGAAGTGTTGCATATTGTAAAGATAAGTCGGCTGCATATGGGTGCATATTTGTGCATCGCTTCGAATGATGTCCCACCACGAGTTAGCCAACGAATATCGCTTCGCGTGCAATGTAAGTATAATTAAATATTATAAACAAATTATATTAACAGGACCACACATCCCTGATATTCAGACATAATAATATTTAAATAATATCCATTTCTTATGACGTTAAAGAAGTAATTGAAAAGCATTGAAAAATTATTTAATAATTTTCATGTTTAACTGTTTATAATGTTATAAAAATATATATAGTATTATATATATATAAAAAATAAAGTTATATTAAATTAATTAATGTATACTTTGTATAATTTTTTACAATTAAAACTCAACAATTTTCAAGTTAAGAATTTGACTTTATTTAAATTGAATTTCTGTAAAAAAATTATTTCCAGATAACTGATCAGAGTATGAAAATGTATGATATAATAATCATTTACTGGTTATTGTAAAACGTAAAAAAAATTGAAATTTATTACACAAAAATATCAGTGTTGTAGTTAAGCCAATAGTGGAAAGAGGGAAGAAAGAATAAGAGGTAGATGGACATAAAAGGGGTGCAAACGGAATATATTCCGGCCACAACTTGATAAAGAGTGGGTTGTTCACCCTAGCACAATGCATTAGGTCGATTTTCAATGTCTCATTTAGCCGGCGATTTACGAGCAACCACTTGACCCAGATATGCTCGATGTACCTAGATCTGTTATCCCATTTCGACTGTCATGTTCAACTCATTTTGGGGTGCGAAACTAGTTTCCGCTTTGTTTTCTCCGACACATTAGTTCTCGCTCTACTTGACTAACAGTTATTAGTGAACTTTGAATGCTTCCGCAAATATACGTTTTTAAAATAGCATTTTCTCTTTCAATTCTTTTACTACAGACAAGTCATACCATTTTTAGACTGCCATTTTCTAATGATGTTTCTATCATTCTGAATTACTCTTTTTTCCTTTTAATAAATTTAAAAATAGAAAAGAAAAAATTGTTGACTGTTTGCAGCCACCCACCCACTAGTTCTGGTCGTGTCTTATTGTTAGTTTTACTAATACGGTATACTCTCGTTTTATTGCCGTGGAAGGGGCTGCAGAAGTGAAAAATTTTTCAACTTTCCAAGCTCTCATTTAAAGGAAGAAGTGAGATAGAAGTGTATCATCTTCATATACTATAATGGTGTAAGAGTATAACTGAAAATCTGGGTGGCACTCACGTGGCAATATAACGAGAGTCTACTGTAGTGTAACTGTACTGTATACTTATGTCATTAACAATTGACCTTAATAGCAGAAAAGAACATGTATGTAAGTACCTACATGCCTATCGATCGAGACGCTAAATTAGTATAGAAACATTTATACATTATTAAGTAAAATTGATCAAATTACCATTATTTTACACAGAACACAACACAGCAAAAGGGTTAAAAAGTTTAAGAATATTATTTTATTTTAAGTATTCTGCAAATTCTGAATATTTTAAACAATTTATTATTATTCTTTTTTTTTGTAGCATGTAGTTTGTACTTACGATTAGTGACACACATTTGTTCACATACAATTGACATTATTTATAATTATATCTGCCTATCTATTTTATTAATTGTCTATTCATAACTCCCTAAAAGAGTCGGTATAATTATTATCAATTATACCAACTATACGAATTGCAATATAAATTGCTGATCTTTTTCAATATTTTATTTTAAAACCAGCTAAATTCTATTGTGGGCAAATAATTATGGCAAAAGATTATTAATTGAATTAGCGCTTACTTGGACTAAAAATTGTAGTTTATACAATTTTAATAAATATCTAAATAGTTCGCGTCAGCAGTTATGTTTTTCATTAATAATATAAAACGAAATTAACGTGAAGTGAAATTTCACCTGTGATAGCCTTTAAAGTTAAAAACGTGTAAACAAATATATAGGGCATATATTTTGTATACTTGAAATAAGTTCATGAATTAGTTATAAGTTCTGGTATTTATTTAGAAGCATTCGAATCTTTGTTTAACCGGTATTTTTTGAGAGGTTTACGAATGCAAAACTTAGACAAAAAATGTTCTTTTTTTAAACAAGTACAAGTCTCTTTTAATTATTTTCTTTGGCTGTATCCTTGTTTTTTTATATTTTTATAAATATAGGACCTGCTGTTTTACCATATCTGTTTGTTTAATCAATATATGTATACTTAATGAAATGACAAAGGTATTTAAGTAAGTACTTCAAAGAGGGAACGCGCAATGGTATTTTACTGTGCAAAATATGATATAATAATGCCAGTATGGAAACTTGCGCAAGCGTAAAATTGCATACTGTGTACGTCAATGTTCCAAGAGATTAAAGTTCTGAATAAATAAAGGAAAGTATTATCCATGTTTAATATACTAAAAAACTAAACTTTGTACTTGCTGGATAGTAATAATCATTAATAAAAAAGCTCCAAATATTGCGTATCATTTTCTTTTGAAAAAAAATAATTAAACTTTCTGGCAGCATACGCCATAATTACAAAAATTGTTATTTGCAGGCTGTAGCATTTATTAGACCTCAAAAACTATTTACAATTAGACAACCTCCTCTTTAATAGCGAATTCTCCCCTTCTAGCGAGTAAAACGAAATCAACAAAAAGGGCCAAAAGGTAGAAACTACTGGTTTTAATTTACTTTTTATTGTATTATAATTAATTTGGATATATTTTGATGAAGTTATGCAACTTTGAAGTTTGACATTTTGTCAATAGTATATTCATAATGCACAAAGCAATAAATTTACGAATACAATCTAAATAATTATGTAATTCAAGTTAATGAAAACAAACAAGTGTGCTACAGGTTTTGAAAGATAGTTACCCACAGAACTGCAAAATAAATTTTATCGTATCATGCCATGCTATTTTTAATGGAGTAAATAGAACTCGAGAAAAAGTCAATACAATCTGCATATAAATTGGCCTTAGTATAAATTCTATTAAAATGTAATTGGACTTTTAAAAGGCAGTCCTACAAAATCTTTTAAAGGACATACAAATAAATTGACTCTAAGATTTGAGGACAATTAATAGAACAATGAATGTTGAACAAAAATATCAATTCTATCGACGTTCAGTAATGTATAATATAAAGGAAATAATGCCCAGCTTTTGCAACATTGGCTTGTAATTATGGTCAGATGTCGACATTGGACATTCTACTTTAAGTACTGCATATTAATAGGTATATTTATAACATCTATGTGCATGTAATATGAAGTAGTAGGTAATATGGAACATCGTAAGACCTTGATAAATAATTAAATAAATGTTATCATCAACTATGGATATCATTTTCTTATAGACGAAAAACAACCATGTTTACTTTTGAGCTTTAATTGAAAATTATGTGAAATTCATTATTCATTTAATCTAATTCATTGAACATTTAACTTTTGGGTGAAAAATAACAAATTAAATAGTTCTTGTTTTTTCAACAGTGTTACAACCATTACATTTTTTAAAAAGTAAAGTGGTAAATAATGACGGAAATACAACTCTTCTCGTAGAACGCCCTTTTCTTGCGGTGGCCACGATATCTTCCAAACCGCTTATTTAAAATCAAAACCGAAGAAGATTGAGTTAGTTTATTGTATTGTTAAGGGCCTGAACGAAGGATTTTGCGAAATTTTGATTTTCACCAAAATGACAACAATTTTACTGAAAAATCCGGTTTTTGAAGTGGTCAAATTTTGTTTTCTTTGCGATAAAAAAAAATTTTTTCAACAGAATTATAAATCCTTCGTTCAGACCCTTAACAATACAATATAGTAACTCAGTCTTCTTTGGTTTTGATTTTAAATAAGCGGTTTGGAAGATATCGTGGCCACCGCAAGTGATCTCGAGAAAAGGGTGTTCTACGAGCGTTCCCTCATTATTTAACATTTTACTTTTAAAAAATCTTAAAACTACTTTAAAACATGTATTTTTCGATGATATATTTCACTTCATAGTAAATATTTATTAGGACGGCAAAAAAAAATCTTGAAAATTACCCGATCCCAAGTAGGCGTAACCTCTTCATACAAAATGACTAATAATAACACAAAATGTCTAAAGTATAAAATATACAATTTTTGTTTTCAATTTCTATTTTACTTTGTCTATCTCAAAAGCTATGTAAAAAATAAAATTATATTGCATTATATTGCAAATCTACTATATACAATAATATTTTACGCGATTCTTGTATTTTTTAAACATTTGCAAATTATATTTTCTTATTTAGTTTTCTTCTACAGATTATGCCATACTTAAATATCTACTCGGTTACCCATGCAGTAAACATTACGTGAATCAAAATACAGTTGTTTAATTAATATTCAAGAGCATTATCATTGCGCCGTGAAATTTTATTTTATGCTAATATTTTCTCATACTCAATGTATGTAGGTACTGATAGAAGTTTAGAGCTTGATGTCACTGAAACCAAAGTTCATTGGCAAGAACGCCGAGACATATACGTAATTAATAATGTTCCGAATAGGTATGTACTTTCACTCTATTCAAACTGAACAGAAAACTTGATTTGCATCTCGTATTCCTTCCTCGTTAGTATAATTATTACTTTTCTATTGAAGCACGTGAGCACACAATATGGAACACGTCGAGTGCGTGCAATATGAAACATGTTCAGTGTTCGAAACTTTTTTTATTCATCAGTCATATGAAGTATCAGGACGCGACAAAATTAGGTAACAGTCGTATAAAATATTGATTTCTGATTTTAACCAGTGGTATTTGTAAAAACTGCTGATTGTGAAAAATAAACCAAGAAACAGAAAAGAAGAATCTCAATAATCATTAGAGATGATTTTACTATAATTTCAACAGATTTGAACTTTTATACATTTAACTATTTATATATGTATATTTATTAATTTTGTCACATTTTGACGTTGGTTTCGCTTAGAAAGAACTATGTTTTTATTTTTTCTATATTAAATTGCTATAAATCACTAAATATCACTAAAGTTGTTAACAGAAGCAGCAAAAAGATGCAGCAAAATCTATTCTTTGAGATTTCTGATAAGAAACAACAATAGATTCAGAATCTCATTTATTTTGTACATTTATTTATTCCTGAAATCAAATATAAGAGATAAGGGTAGAATAATCAGTTAATTCGTGGCGAATCTTTCCGATAATTCAAGGAAAATATAGAGGGAAGAATATGGGATAGACGGGTATGGTATCCAGCGTGATATCATCCCAAGTGTACACAGTGGCAGTAAATCGTGATTTACGTTGGTTCGTAAAAGACGAAACTATGACATGATATTGCGGCTACGGAATATCTATATCGATCCTGAGAAGCTCGTTGTACGGTACCGCTCCACGTATAATAACCGAAAACTTTGAGAGGGATGTTTTCGCTCTATGAGAGTCTTACATTCTCGAAGTAGAATCGTTGAAGTTTTAAGTGTGTGCAAACTTTATAGAGCAGACAAAAAATAAATAAAGAAAATTAAAGAATATAAAAGCGTGTTCAGAAACCGCAAACACTTTTAAGTACATAAATGAAGGAAAAGACAAACTAAAAAATCTGTTGATCTACGAATTCCTACATTGCAGGCAATCAAACATTGTTAACATTGATTACTCATTTTAGCAACAGAAATGCTATTGATTTGATAGAAAGTTAACCATTTAGCAATTTCTTTTTATCTAACCCTCGAACGGGTTAATTCGAACGAGAGAGCCCTAATTTTAACACTATCTATGGCGGTTCGATGCGCACTTATTTACAAACCAAAAACAAGTTAGAAAAATAATTAAATAATTAAAAGTAGAGCGAGATTCGCTCTAAAGCCAACCCTTGAAACTAAATGAAAAAGAAAAAAAAATTTTCGCAAAAAAATGAGTGCAAGAATATTTTCGATAATTCTTACCGTTTGGCCTGTACGAAAGTGACAGAAAGTCTAAATGCTTTAGTCCCCTTCTCAAGATTTTCAATTTTAGATACGGGTTGGCTAATGAAAGATGCAACTAATACATTAACACAAGCAATTATTCTGTATCTCGACAAAAATCGATGCATACTTTGACAGAAACACGTTAGCAATTTTTATAACGTGGAATAAGTAAAATCCGTTTTACTGAACTATACAGTGGTGTTAGTCTATATCTTTATGGAAATCATATCTACTGAAAGATTGATGTATTTTTCGATCTCAGCTACTTATATCAAGATTCAGAACCCAACTAAAATTTCTAGCGCCTGGCGCTATCAAACTTTCAAGAGCACCCTTGGTTGATAAACTTAGTTCAAAAATTGAAATTTATTCTGAATAAAATTAAATAACATTTAATCGTAAAGAAAAAGAGGAACAGGATTGAATATTTTTTGAGATTATAAATAAAGGCTTATAAACGGGTTCGGGGCTGCCCCTTAATTCGTTGCTGATAAGACCATAGTGGAATTTATTATTATGAATATTTTGAATATTATTTATTAATATTTTATTTATTAATTATTATTTCTTAATATTAATAATATTGAATTTATTATTTATTAATATTTTATGTTCCTCAGAATGAGAATTAAATAACTTATACTGTTATGACTTTTATCTCCTCGTATGGATCGATTGCGCCTTGAATGATAAATTAGTTAATACAGTTAATATTGTTATGTACGTTTTCTGTTTGTTACAGTTCCTCCAATGCTTTCGATACAGAACCAGCTAGTTGGAGCATACATCGGACAAGACGTCACTTTGGAATGCCATACTGAAGCTTATCCTAGCTCGATCAATTATTGGAAGACCGAACGAGGCGACATGATCGTTTCTGGTAAGTTTAAGTTTCACAAAATTACACCAACTTGTCAAATTTGATTAGAGTAGGGAATGAAATTTCAATTCACTTGAAACTTAATCCAGAAATTGAACTGACGTTGGAAATAAATTTGTTCAAGATATCAGATTAAATTATTTTATAATCCCCTTTATGCGCATTCTATCCAAAAGACCGATATTGTTTAAAGAAAAGTGTAACTTTTGAAATTAAAATTTTATAGTATTTCTGCAGTACAGAATACATAAGGATAAAAACAAATTTTTCATATTTTTACAGCATCATTTAATATTAGATCTAATCTTACAAACAAAAGTGAATTAAATAAACAAAATTTTGTGTAATTAATATTGAATTAATTAATGTGAATTTTGCAATATCATAAATTTAATAATTTTGTTTTTTAATTATTTCAATATTATTATTATTTATATCATCATAAATATTCTACATAATATTGCAAAACAATGTTTATACCATTTAAAATAATGCTACATCATTTTGTACGTAAAGTCATTTTCCATATTAATATCGTTTCCATTTTATGTACATGGATGTAGATTTTGCCATATTTTAACTGCGATTTAAATATTGAAAATTTACGCCGGTATAATTTGATTTATTTGATTCCTATTAATGTATGCACTTTATGGTATATGAAGTTTCTCGAATTGCAAAGAACATGGCTTTATTTACGTAGGCAATTACCATTCTATTGTAGGTGATAAATATGAGGCAGTATATACTGATGATGGCTACAACAAATATATGTCGCTGAAAATCAGAAATGTCGGCCCGAAGGATTTTGGTTCATACAAATGCGTGGCACAGAATTCTATTGGCGAAACGGATGGTGATATTAAACTAGACGGTAAGTGTTTCTAATACAAAATGCATTTCTCAATCATGAAACATTCAAAATAGTTATAAAAAGTTTGTTTGCACTTATTAAAGGGAGAAACAAAGATACCTAAATCTTATTTAAAATTTATAGCAAATATATTCCATTTATTATAATTCATACATATATGGCCAGTTACTAATAAAATATAAAGAGTGAAATAATTGTGTATTAATTTCGTAGAACTTTTTATCGTTGTTGAAGTAAATTCTTTTGTAAAATGTGAACAATTTGCATTGCTTGTTTTACAGAAATATGAAGACAGGTGAAAGTAAATATTACTCTTTTTAGAAGTAATATAGCAAATTTGTTAAAATAAATGCAGTCACAGTAAAAAGTATTTATACACTGGTCAATTTTAAATAAAACAAAACAAATAATCATACACAAACTACAAATATAATCAAATACAAGAAATAAATTCCCTGTGCCAACACAAATACTTGATAAAGCAATTGAAATAATACAATTACAAAATTATATTATATTCCAAAGTTTTTTTTAGCAAAATTGAAAGATAATTAAAATTACTTTATAAACAGTTTTACAATACATAATCATGTTCCTCCGCGAACCAGTTAAATTAACCCCAACGGTTTTAAAACTGCTGTATTTCAACATTTGACAAATTATATTTGCGTGTTTAAATAAAACCTCCATTTTTAAAACATAACTCTTTGTTCACCTAGATCTGACTGTATCGTAAAATTGGTGAAACGCGATTTTAAAGCGCAAGGTAAAATTAACTCCACGTGGTTCACGGAGTGACTTTTATTCATAGTTTATGGATAGTTAAAATATGAACATCCATATAAAGGGGAACTCATTCAACTGGCAATATAACGAGTGGCAATATGGCAAGAGTTTACTGTATTTGCTATAAAACGATCATTATTTTGTAATGATTATGCTATTGCTTTAATACTGTATCTTACGTGATCCCAATATGTTCTGCTTGCTTTCCTAATCATATTCTGCTGCATGATCTAATTAATAAGTGTGATTAATCTCAGCCAATAACGAAAATACATACTTTATGATTGCGTTAGTATTAATAGACCCGCGCTTCTTTCGTTAGTTAACAAGCCAGTGATTAATTTGACCTTGACACAAATTTTTAAGCATACTAGTTCCGCTCTTACACCATTATAGTCTACTAAGGTAGGGTATACCCTTTTATCCCCCCTTCTCCCTTTAAATGAGAGCTTGGAACCTTACAAAATTTTCCACTTCTACAACCTCGTCCTCGGCAATATAACGAGAGCCTAGCGTATACCAAAACTACCCATTAGAATAATTATAACATCATACAATTATACATATTAACATTAGAATAAGGTAGGGTAGGATAGGATAAGGTATTCAATTACCTTTGTATGTATTTTAAGGTTAAAGCTCTTCAGTATTCGATGAATTAAAAGAAATCTACTACAACTTGAACAGTGATCCAGTTATTCGTAGTAATAACTGAAATAGTTCTGTTTGTATGTATATGCTCCAATAATAAAGCAATTTATTCTCTATGGAGTTTTGTGCAAGAAGTTTTGTCGTTAGCAGTCAACGGCTATCGTCCTTTCCGTTTCAACGTTGCTCGTAATTGGCGATTAAATTTATGAAGGATATATTTATCCCACGAAAATATATCTTTCTACCTTTTCGGGACAAATAAATTGGCTGAAATTAAAAGTATAACGAGATACAGCGTTCGAACGATCGTTATGCCGTGATCGTTTTCAACGAGAAATAAACAGATGACAAAGTTTGAACTTCAATGTTTTGAATTTACCAAAGTATCTCGGCGAGCACTGTTATGCAACGAAATTTAATTTACTTTTATGAAATTTTAAGGTGCGTATTTATGGGATAAAGAATTCATGAAGTGACAAAGTTTTAAAATATTTAGAAAACAAAAGGAATGATGACTTATGAGCAAGAATATTCGTGTTTGAATCCTTAGCGATTGGTGATGGAATTAAAACAAAAAATACATAGCTTAACTTTGACATTCTCAACGCAAATGGAATTAGCTTTCTGTATTTCATTAGAGATGTTGAAAATGATATGAATAAAAATACTTCTTAATAGTATTCTTATCAAATTTGTATTATAATGACATTTTTAAAATTAAATAATGTATTGTCCTTTACTCACAAGAAGTCTTGCGCGGCGACACAGGTGAAAGAGGGGGTACTACGTAGTGATGCGCTGACCTACATGAAGCTAGCGGGAAGGAATAATAAAATATGATTATTTGTAATTTTTCTTGGTGTGTTTCGTTTGTAAATCATTTGTGATTGATTGTGAGTCTATTTTTAACATTTGTGACAAATTAGTTCTTTTGTATTTAAATTAGCAATTTTATTTCAGTCATGATGTGAGCCGGAACTTTTTAGTAATTTTTTATAATAAACAGATTTTATGATAACTGATAACTATAATTGATTGGAAATCGTTTGTGATTTGAAAAGTATTTCTTTCAACTGTTACAAAGTTACAAAAGGTTTGAAACAAAAAATTTAGAACTCGAATATTTTAATAGCAAATAATTCAGGGAACATTTTGATATGATAATGTACAAGTAAATAATTATTTAAAGCACCTCACTCTTATAGTTTGGGTGGTGCTCTTATCCATTTTTAGTCTTGTTTTATGAGCAGAAAATTCAAGAGCTTACATACTATGACAGCAAATAATTCAGGAGACGTTTTGATGTCATGAAAAGACTAAAAATGGATAAGAACACCACCCAAACTATAAGAGTAAGGTGCTTTAAATAATTATTTACTTGTACATTATCATGTCAAAATGTTCCCTGAATTATCTATATATTAAAAAAATTTATGAATTCTATTCCAAGTTCGTCCGGCAGTTCTATCCGCCCGATTTGCATTATTTTTTTTTAATGAAAGATATTCTTGCATAGATAACGCAACAAGCATTGGAATACATCTACCTTTCGTCCCTCTTAAGTTATACTCACACGTGATTTTTCTGGAATTTCTCTCCACTCAAAGCTTCTTATCTCCGGTTCTAATTGAGGTACGATGTTCGTTTTTGTCTAAGAACACTCAGTGAATTAAGCTCTTTCAGTTGAGCTATTGACCAGTTACATTGGATGACTTGAAGCAGAGTTAGACGCGCACAACAAAGTTGAATTTCAATTTTTCTAATAAAACTAAATTACCAACTTTGTTCCGTAAATTTTCATTATAAATAAATAAATAAATAAATGAGGTACCGTTTCAAAAATCAAGTTCCCCTTTTCTGATGAATTGTTAATTTAGAACTGTACAATCTGTTATTTGTTTTAAAAAATCAAAGTTAAAAATTGATGTTTGAATGCGAATTTTTCGCACGGATCAACTAGTTTGCTATTAAAATATTCGAGTTCTAAATTTTCTGTTTGCAAAATAAATTAAAAATAGTTTATAAAGTTATCTAACCTTTTGTAACTTTGTAACAGTTGGAGCAAAAGAAATACTTTTCAATGTAAAATATAGCAAAAAAATAGCAAAAAATTTATGTGTTATTGATTTAGAATGGCTAGATGGCTTAATATTAAGCTATCTAACCCTTTGTAACTTTTTAATGGCTGGAGCAAAAAAATTACTTTTTACGGCAAAAAATAGCAAATAATTAGCAAAAAATTTTCATATATGTTTTTTTATATTCTGATGATTTGGCTCAGATAGCTTAATAGACCTAAAAATAATCATATTTTATTATTTCTTCCGGCTAGTTTCATGTAGATGATGCGCTGTCGTGGGATTTCTTCTCACTAGGAGGTTACGTGCGCATGCGTAATTTAGTCGAGTGGCGAGTAATTTAGTAACTTGAAGTGTATGGACACTACAGTTTAGTCGAGTAGTTTAGTAAAACGAGTATGTAGATCCGTTTCATTGGATTTTTCTGGTCGGGTAGGCTTCCCCCACCACTCACTAGGCTTCCGAACAGACCTGTCCGGACGCATTTCTTTAGTCAAGCGTTCAGCCGATTTCCAATGCTCAACTGTACTACATATAAGTCTGGTCACTTTTCTATGCGCTAAACGGTTTAGTAGTAGTAGCTACTCGCCACTTGACTAAATTACTAGCCGTGTCTGAACCAGCCTTTAACACTTTGAAATTCTGACTCGAAGTGAAGGAAAAACCTGTAAGGACAAGACAGAAAGTCTGTTGCCCACTTATAAAATCAAAGAGATCAGGACTGTATTCAGTCTATTACCCAGGTCCTTAGGTATAAACAGTCACAGGCCTATGGGCCCGATGACATGGGTCTGACAATATAACTTTGAAGCACGCAGTGTTTCTCATATATTTATAAAATCAATTCATGTTTGCTTTCTAGCTGACACATTATTATTATGAATAATCCAACAACAGCTAAGGAAACTTTCATGCGTGCAGTGTATACAGTGTATACAGCTATGGCATCACGCGATGTCCCTAGCTATAATGCGCATGCAGCCTCTTAGTGAAAAAAAATCTCACGACAGCGCATCACTGGTACTATGCATACATATACCGACCCTACAGTTTTACATGAGCCTAATTAGCCACGTGATCACATCGACCAATACACGTCACAACCAATGTCACGTGTGAGCTTAGGTGAAGCATAACCGGTCAGATCGCGTTATTTTCTTGACTTCCTGTCAGAGAAAGGGAGTACTTATTATCATAATTGCGTTAGATTATATGTATGTATATGTGTCAGTAGCGCATTGGGCGACGGGGGGAGGGGGATTCCATTGACTTCCCTATTAAAAAATTAAAAACCTTTTTCTTTTTTTATAAATCCTGGAATATTTTCAAAAACTTCAGAAAAGGTTACATTCAATAAACAAGAATGAAGAGAATTAGACTAAATATTAAGTCTGATGTTCTTTCGACCCCACTATCACATGGTTATGATTACGCCATTGACATATATTATCATAATTGTATTCAGAGTTTAGAATACAGTATTTAAAAATGAATTTGTTATAACAATATTTGAAAATGTTAAATCCTTAAGAAATTGAATATGTTGCATTATCCCATAAACAATAAAAGCATTCTTTTCTTCTAAAACAAATTAAATAAATTAATTCAGTAACTATGCATATAATGATCACAGTATACTTTCCATTATGTTTCACGACGAATTTTTAAGTTTCTTACTTATTTTTTAATAGTCTTTTAACAACCACTTTGTGAAGCATTTGATCTAATTCCATTAACACATTGACTGTTACAGAAAAATATTATGACTCAGCTTGTTATTTAAAATTGTTTCAGTAGTAATTGTTTAACTATATTATCAATACACAATACTGATCACTGATAATCCTGATACCATTCAACGTGTTAATATTGTTCGAGTTCTTTTCACTCGGTTAAGATTTCTCTTCTGTTTAATATCTTGGCATAAAACCCATTTTTCATCTCTGCGAGCATTTTGTTCAGAAATGGGTTCCGTTTCAAGCGATAAAGTGGAATGTGACGTTCTTGATTCCTCTGATCAAGATTTTCATCAAACAGTTCTCGTAGCACTCACTTTTACGCTCTGCTGAACTTTTCAATTTTGTTAATAGAATAGCAAAATGAAATTGTTTCAAAAGTTCAAGTATTCATTGCATTCTACCATTTAGATTCTTCTTACATACAATTGTTTTAATACATTATTTGAATGCCTTTATTTTTTTAAATTGAAGATTTACTGTTAAAAGGTAATTGTAATTCTAATTATAAAAAGAATCGTTATCATTTTTATATTCCTGCCATTTTTCAAGTCTACAGCATTTTGGAAAAGTATTCAAATTTAAAATAGTGATTTAAAAAACGTAATGCCGCAGGCAACGAATTAATTGGTTAATAATAGCAATTGTTTAAAAAAGACAGATGTAACAAATAAATTTTTTCGTAATTTTCATTTGTAGGCAAAATTGGTTTTTGTCAAATTATAAAATTATAGTAGCAACTAATATATTTTTTTAGGAAATATATAAAAAAAAAAGATTTATCACTTCGCTGTCGTCTTATTTACGTACTGATATGGGAACGATATATAGCCAGATGCATTTTCAGCACATATGCAGAAAAGTAAATCACTCATTCAGTTCAATAGTTCCCCTGATACCAAGGTCTTCGGTTTGAAACATATCCTTTCAAAAAAAAAAGTTTTAAATGTTTTCTGCAATTCACATCAATATAAATACTGACCTAAATAACGAATTCTTCACAAACTTATAACTTTAATCATTTTTTTGAGTTTTATCAGAATTATTTGGATGCATATTTTTCAGACTTGAAATGTTCAAAATGTGCGGTAATTGAAATATTATGTTTTTAAATACTAAATCAGAATACATATCTTGTTAATACGTTAAATGCCGGGGTGAAAATGGCCATATGTTATAGGTCATACGATTCACTATAGTATTGTAATTTTTTAGATCATGATGGTTTATATTAATCTAAAGTTAAATGCATAATTTTTAAAGGAGAAGGTTCTATGTATTAGAAGAATAATTTTTAAAGGAACAATGTAAAATTTATAAAATGAAAATAATGTGAAATACATAATTAAATTAAAATTATAGCTCTCTCTATGGTCCGCCGTCCGAGTGTTAATACATATAATATTAATGTCACTTATGATTTTCTTTAATTTCTTTCAATTATTAGATTATACTGTAATATAAATTTTTGTTGATATCAATACCACCGATTTTACTTAAAAATCTTAACTTTTTGCAGTCGAGTTACACTACCATGCAAAAGTTTGGAAGCACTTAAACAGTTACAGGTTTTCATGATAATAAAAATTTTACATAATACATATATTATATTACTCACAATATGTAATAAAATGTTTACAAATAGTTACTTCCAATATACATAGCAACGAAGGATTACTTATTCAACACAAAATAATGACTGCTTCTAAACTTTTGAACAGTAGTGTATATTGTATATTAGATTTTATTTACCCAGGAAATCAATTTATTTGAAAGTGATGTATCGTTGCAAGTATCGTTGCAAGCTTTTTAAGAAATGAAATAATATGAAGCTAAAGATGAAAAGCTGTCTTGAAGATTTTCTTTTCAGAATCTTCTTTTCCTTGAAACTTTTAAATTTCCCAAGTATTGGAAGCAGCAGTACCAAGGGAGCGAACAGGAATACTTTTGCATAAATATGCAATTTCTAGTACCAATTAGAAAACAAATGTTATTGCTGTTTTGAATATCTCAAAATCTGCGTTTTGGTCTACTTATTATACTTTAACATCAAATTGTATTGTTGTAATTTATCTTTATGCTTTCTTTTGTTAAACGAGATTTATTGTTTCTTCTCCTGACATTAATATGAATAATAATAAGTGTAAGATTTATATTAAAATAATATACGTATGTTAATTCTGTCAGTTGTACTACTATTTTTTCAAAAATCCAGTAATTTATTGCTAGACTGTTTAAAAATCGTATTTTTTCAAGGTATTCGTGTATGCAAGACGTTGTTTACTCAAATATTAAGTTCACAACAAAGAATAGGTTGCAATCTTTGGACGGCGGACCATGGAGAGAGCCCCAATTTTAATTTAATTTTGTATTTTATATTATTTCCATTTTATAAATTTTATATTGTTCCTTTAAAAATTCTTCTGCCAATATATGCAACTCTTTGCTTTAAAATTTAATTTTTAACCCGTTCAAGAGTTAATAGCTAATCATTAATCCAACTAACAATTAAATAGCTGTTTTAAATGGTTAACCCAATTAACATTTAATTGCGATTAATGATTAAATATTTGAATGTATAGCACTTGGATAGCAATTATCCAAGTATAATTGACACCAATGTATAGCAATTATTTTAATTTAGCACTTGGAACCAAAAGGATGCAAGTTACACTGTTCGAAATTATTGAATTGAAACCGGAAACGATTAGTTAAATCGTTAAATATAATGTTTTAAGTAAATAAAAAATTTTAGTTGCATTTCTCAAGTAAATTCTTGTAAATTTATTCCAGAAATTCCAGCACCATCGACAACGTCCACTACTCCGCCACCCTATTACGTGACCTCATCGATGAAGAAAAACAGTAAGTAGCCTCCATTTAACTGGCTATTCACCTCTTTTCTGTGACGTTAATCTTGATCGCGATTACAGTGTAAAATACGCGAGCGTAATGAAAGAAATTATCAAACGGCGCGGCGGGAGTGGGAAACGTAGTTGCGAACGATCGCGGAATGAAGTAGAATATGTACCCGGCATTAATTTGCAAGCGAAACAGCCCAACCTCCGCAGTCGCGTTACATTCGTTCGTTCCTCCTTTTTTTTAATTCCCGAAGCAAAGATATCCATTCTCGTGTCCCTTCTTCCTATGACGTCTCATCGTACAGAGCGCACTATGTAAAACCGCCTTTGTGTAATGCATTTTAGGTAGAAACGGTAACAAGAAATTACGACAACGACCTATCGACTACGAAGTCGAGGAATGGCGAGATCCAGGTCAGTAAATATCTATTTTAACGCGGCCCGCGTATCTCAGGCATTTCCCCCACGATACACCGTCTGGCTGCCTGTTATACTGCTCCGTTCGAGTAATTAGCGTAATTAAAACCTCGTCAACGGTGCACATTCGATGCGGAGAGATTCTCCGGTGAATCTACTAAATTGCCAATGCTCGGTGATCCCCGCTATCCGTGAACGAATTACTTCACGTTGCTTGGTCCCCTTTAACTAGCCAGAATGGATTTCAGAATTACACTCTCTCAACGACTGTGATTTCACTGATAGCTCCATTTACGCATCACTTGTCCCTCCTCGAAATTTAACTTTACTTTAATATCACGCTTCATTTGCAACTTCCTACTACTTCGTATCAATCAATTACGCGATCGATAATAATTAAAGGCGATTGTAATTAATATCTTATAGTGAAGAGATTTTAAGCTAATTAATAGTACACTTGCCACATACTACCCTGTTCAAATAGCTTTAGGACAAAATAAATAAGACACGATGATAAGCAGTCACTTTGATAAGCAGTTTTAATTGAAGATTTTTTTTAACATTTCAATTACCATAGAATAGTTAGGTTTTGTTATAATTTGGACATACATTGTTTAAATCTATTCAATTAATTTTAAGTGGGCAATACATAGATGTCAATAACAAATGTATCAACATAACAGAACAAAAAGAAGATGATTTTGTTCAAATTAACCCTTTATAGGTCAGTACTGTGGGACAGAAAATAATAATTGTAATATGGAAAATTATCATTTTTCGATTTCTAATATAATGATTTTTATATCCGAGGGTTAATGTAACAGCTTTTTTGGATGATAATGAACAAAACAAATAGAATAATAATTAAATAAATAAAGACAGTGCATGTAATAGATATTAGAGATTTCATTCTGTAGAAGATAACATGCAAACCTAGTTTAAATTATCAAAAGTGTTTTTTGATAAGATGTCACTAAATTAACAAACTCGAAACAAAAATCCATGATTATCTTATTTTGCACGTATAGTACTATATTTCCAACCATATTTTTATTGATTGGTAGAAAGAATAGTATATAAAATAGATTCAAAAAATAAATAAATGGGTATGTAATTGCAATGTGATCAGTAATATTTATAGATCAATAATCTTACTTATTAAAAAAAGATCCGTTATAATTTGCTTATAAATGAATTTTCTTTGACCGAAGGATTAGGTGGTAATTATACTTACCAATAGCCTATAAAGGATTAACTTGTTTTGAAATTGTTTCAATAGTATAGATATCATCAATTTTCTATAGAAAATGGTACTTTTTAATTTTATATATTTTGAAACAGATGAAAAGTAACTTTTGTCATATAATCTACAAAGATAATACTAATACTAATACTAAATGTGCAAGATTTGAAATTATATTAATTTTTTTATGTTATCTTATAAAAAAGGAAAGAGGTCTGTAATGAACAAATTTTCAATTCAATACTAATAGCGCAAGCATTAATTTCTCAAAATGCAAAAATAGGAATGTTAAAAATATTAATGTTATAAAAAATTGATGAACATTAGATATTAGAGTTTAATATAAAAAATAATATTTTTTTATCCATTAACCAGATCTTTTTTAATTCAACAAAAGTGTTAAAATTTATATTTAATTTTAAATTCTTCACACCCTTATTTTTTAAGTTTTACGCTATTTCTGTATATTTTAATAGCAATAGCTATTAGAATTTTAAAAATGATTGAAAACGTATTTTAAAATTACTTTTGTTTTGATTATTTCTCTTTTGTATATGAATCATTTTACTGTATTATAATGTCATTTACATTATATGAATCATATACATAATTTTAGTTTCATTTCTTATTTAACATATCAACACTTTCGTTACCTCACAATTAGATATCGTCGTCAGTCGCTAAGAGTTTGATCACACAATATCGCGTGCTCGAAAAAAGAATTTGGTCTTTTTTGGATTTTTATTTTTTTCAATTTTTTTCTTAGCTTAAGTTGTTTTGTTTTTGATTGATTTGTTAGATTTCTTCTCTTGATTCTCAAAAAGGTAAAATGTTCAATTTTTTTTCTTTTAATTCAATCATTACGAAGGAAACACCTTGGATATGTTTATCTATCATTTATTATAAAACAAAATTTTTTACATATATTCTATTAAAAAGATTCAAAACATTGAAAATAAATGAAAAATTTGTCATGTTGTTTCTATTAATCAGAGCCAATTAATATTAGATTTGATTGAATAAAAAGAGAAAAAAACTGAACATTCTTTATAAATTTTGCTTATAATTTAAGGATATATGCAAGAAGCGTTACTTCACTCGTTTCATAAGTGCTTAATTCATCAGTAATCTGAACTAAAGTAAAGGAAACTTCCTTTCAAAATTTCTAAGTGAACAGTATTAAGCTGAGCTAATTTCGTTCGGAATTTCCGTTAGCTTGAAGCAAATAAAATGAAAGAAGGAAGAAAATTTTAATAAAAATTTCAAATGTTTCTATATTATGCAGCTGAGAACTGACTAGGTTTTATTCATTTCCGGATTCCCAATCAACTTTCATGTAGCCTTTATTGATTAAAAATTATATAATTCCAATTTGATTCTTATCAAATATCTGTTTGCTTCAGTAACGTAAATTTTACTCAGGAAAAAGGTTTCTCCAAAATTTTTCATTGATGCAATATGGGACATCAAAAGCTATTTAATCTTGAATTTAATATTTTTTCAATTCTTAAATATTAGATATGGTTTCGTACATATTCCTCATAATAAATATCCAATTTTTTAAAAGAGTATTTTCATTCATAAGATAATTTTATTGCTGAACGAAAAAATGATTACGTTATTGGCGTTATCGCCGAATCAAGATGCAGTCTAAAGGAGGCTACTGCAAGATGCAGTCTAAAGGAGGCTACTGCCCTGGGTCCTATTTTTCAGGGAGCCCCATTCTAAGCCTTCTATTTACTATGTCAAAAAATACTGAATTAAATTTGTTTACGTTTGCCTTTTTTCTTTATGATTAAATTTTATCTAATTTTATTTTAATCCTAATCCTAATCCAGCCCTGATTTGCGCTACTTGAATGATATTTCAATAGTTTCAAATTTTTAAAACTTCCCAATTGCCAATTTAACTTTATATAAAACCATATATGAATAAAGTAAATAGGAAAAATTTTTTAGTATATAAAAGATTTCATTTTTGAAAAAGAATTCTGATGAAATAATATAATTTTCGTGGATTAGTGTATAATCAATATTTTTAAGCTAAATTCAGAATTAAATATGATAAACTACGTGCTGAGAGATAATTATTAAAACAGATAATAATTAAAATAGCAACTTCATTCTTAATTTCTAACTGATTAGATGGAGTCCAATATATCCCTGTGGTTCTATTTATCCAACTAATTATTTGATTAGTTTAAAAACGCAAATACATGAACAATAAATAAAATTATAAGTTAAAAATTTCCTGTAAAAAAATGAAACAGACATTTTATTGACGTTTGTCTAGAAATTTCAGTGTTCCTCAAAAACTACCTCACCAGTTAAGAGTTACCGTTCTTATAAAAAGTAGAAACTTCGTTTTCATTATTATTTAATAAATTCTCTCTAATTCCATATTTACATATATATGAATATTATTTGAAGTAAAATTTCGTAATTAACTTGGAAGATGAATTTTTTCAGTACTTTGTTTTCTTACAGTTACCGGTCTGATTACCAGTTCCATTTAAAGTATCACGTACCTTATAAATATTGAAGACTGTAATGTCTTATGAATACGCATGAGAAGACCAATCCAACGAGTTTAACTACCGTTAAATTTTGAATATCGATTAAAAATCTAAATATCCCGCAAGGAAATAACGTATCAACGTACAATTACGTGTATACGCTTTAACGAAGAAAAGGAGTGCGATAAATAATTGCATGATTTACAACCATTATTAAAAATGTTATTCAAAATATATGTAGTAATATTTAAGTAATAGACTCTCTGCTTGTATGCATTTATGAAATTGGTAGTATAATATATCTGCAGTAAGAGTTGTAGTTCTTAATTATTTACAAATGTTTATTGCTTATCAAATGACAATACTTCGTACAAAAATAGTATTAACTGTCAATATTGTTTTTATAGCAACATAATTTCGAATGAAAGCACAGTATAAAAGAATAAAAGATAATTGGCAATGATAAGAACATAACACACTATGATATATTTATTTATTTGAGTGAAATTTACCTAAAACTACATTAATATTTTAGAATATGCAACTAACCTACGTGTACATAATATGTATTTCTTTTTCCATTTCTACTCGTATAATATATTGGAGAACTTTTTTCATTTGACTTTGCCTATTTAGCTTAGCTATTTACATTTACTGTTTCACACTGTATAATATGTTATAAATATTTTAAGATAACTGCATATTATGTACATACACGTAAATAAAAATGAATGCAGACGAAAAATGTCACCATAAAATAAATTAGTACTTAGTAGTAAGCGAATTTTATATTAAAAAAGCATGAAGATTAATTTATGGATAAAAGAATAAACTAAAACAGTTATTTTAATTATGAAATATATGTAGATATTGTGAAAAGCACAAAAAGTAGTAGCAAGGATTAACATTGGTTCAGTTGATTAGCAATTAACACATAGTAATAATACAGTAATTTGATAAAGAAGGTACAAAATCACGAATATTATGTTTTCGGAAAAATAATATTTAACACATAATTCTTATCAATTTCTGATAAAGTTGGATGTGTCAGTGGTTAGGTTACAGTGCCAAAATTAGTATACATAGTTTAACTTAATTCATCCCAAACGAGTGCCTAAAGGATTAATCCTTAACCCGCGGACAGCGGACCATGGAAAGAGCCCCACTTTTAATTTAATTTTATGTTTCATACTATTTTCATTTCTTAAATTTTACATTATTCCTCTAAAAATTATTTTT